ATCCAATATTTGTTTTACGGATATCCACTTAGCTACACTGGAACCCCCAAAACATTGGCCATTGCCCACAGAGTTCCAAGATTGCTTCCTACCTAATACACAGATAAAATTTCCTAACTAACGCTACCACTCCCTAAACAAGCCTTTTTCAGGCTTTTTAGCTAACTGCAAGACCTGGTTACACGTGCCTGCAAGTTATACAGACTTTTAACAAATATACACTAACGTTAGCTAAGATGCAGTCATGATATCTGATGAGTAAGCTAGGTTTTGACTTAATATACGCATCTAGTAAAACAAAAAAAACAACAACAAAAAAAGCAAGCTAATAGAATAACGACTAGGGGTCACTGCCAGTGCACATATAGATATTGTACTAATCCAACAATTGAGTTTTTACCTAAAATGGGTTACAGGATCTTTTCCATAGAAGAGGAAGGGAAAGAGCTCCAGGTGACCTTTAGGCAAATTTTATGTCACTTCATATTGAGAGGGAGTTAATGGTAAATGTTGATGGAAAGGCTATAGAGAGGTCAAGAGAGGAGTTGCTACCCCTGATGGTGGAAAAGGATTTCTAGGCCTCAAACTGGAAGACAAAAGGTAGAGAATGTAATTTATAATTTGAATCAGTGGGGTCAGAGGAGGATATAAGGAGGCAGGTGTACAGTAGACGTATGTGGCATTTTGATAAAGAGTGGGGCAGAATGCATGGATGGAGAAGGAGAAGCAGAGGAGAAGACAGAGGCTACTGTGATTTAAAAGGGTTGGTTTTGCTGACTTTTCAGCTGAGACAGATGCAAAAAAAGAGAGAGAGAGAGAGAGAGAGAGAGAGAGAGAGAGAGAGAGAGGAGAAATTAAAAGAGCACGACAAATTCAAACAAGGCAGCTTTTTGGTACTTTCTGTCAGCAGCGGGGAGGGTTTTTCAATTAATTTTGCAAGGTTTTCAGACAGCCGAGCTGTAGCAGGAAATCATGACAGTCAAGGTCAAAAGTAGAACAGAGGACAGCTGCTGAAGGAGTAGAGCAGTCTGGGGAGTTAGAAGAATACTACTGTCTGCAGATTCTGCTGAAGCAGTGCTAGTGTGAAGTGAAACAGTGAAACCAGAATGAAAGGGTTAGTTGCGACAGAAATGCAGAGGAAATAGTGACGGAAAATGACAGAATTCAGTTTCTTTTTAGGGGTGTTGAGGTCAGCGAAGATGTGCCATGTTTTGTTTGTTAGAGTGGATCTGAGGGGTGATAGGGGACAACACTGTATGGAGTGTATCCTAGTTAGTAACTTAGTTGTATTATTTATTGTGCCTTGCACATACAAGTGCCCACATTTAATGTGGACCATAGTATGGCTGGAATAACTTCTTACATATAACACATATAAAATAAAACTTGCCACAAAAAGCCCTACTAAAACATTTTTTTAATAATGATACATCCAGAACAACTCCTCTGGAATAAAGGACATTTGATAAAAAAAATGAAAACTCACTGTACACGTAATAAACAATAAAACATGAAATGTACTTCATCTTCAGACTTACATAAATCACAACACAAAGTCTTTTCTCTTCACGGAGACCAGTAAACCTGCCTGTTTCGAATGCTAAAGGTAATATACTGTACCTGAATGCAACAGCACAGAGCGACCTCTGACTTGTGGTTGAACTATTACTGCACCTAAACTGCACTATGTATCCTGTATTAAGACTGTGGCTCAAGTGTAGGAAATTGAACTGTTCTGTAATTGAGAAAGAGGAGGAATGACAATAGAGAGGAGCAGAAATAGGACGAAGGAGAGACTGAGGCATTGTGCTGCATAGAGACAGAAGCAAGTGTTTCTGTCTTGTCTGAGGTGATCAGTGTCTGCGAGGCAGCACAGAAAGGCAAAGACGGGAGAGATGAGCTCTGGTGTCTGGAGCGCTGACTGACAGCTCTGGCATCCTCTCTCTACAATGGCCTGAGTGTGAGCTGACCTGAAGGGTTGAATAAGGTTAAATTGACTGCAATTTTTGTGGACAGATGGCCCCATTCTCTAAAAAAGCAAGCAGGGGGTTGAGAGGAGAGTTAGAATTAATAAAAACAAATAGGCAGACTGGTGTGGATTTACTTTGTCCTTCCCCAGTGGACTCATGTGGATAAGCTCCCCTTTTTTGTGCAGCTGCCTGTGTAAAGAGAGGCAAGTTACACAAGGCTACAACTCTACAGTATAACCACAGGAGGAAAAGCTGAGCCCCAGCAATATTCATGCTGATTGGAATAATAACAGGAATGTTAAGCTCAGTGGGGGAGGCAGTGTCACTCTTTATAAACTGGATGTTGAAACAAGCCCACAACAAGACACCTGTCAACTGAGGGTAACAGCAAGGTAACTGCTCACTATAGGTTACTCCCACTAGGCAACATACCAAGCCCAGGCAGCACACTATAGTTTCAAAGCAAGATCTTTTTATTTATATAGCGCATTATACTACAAGTAAACTCAATGGACTTTCAGGGCTTAACAAAACAAACTCCCCCGATTGCCAAGTAAATTGCCGTGTCAGGCTAGAAAATCTAGTCTCACTTGCCTTATCTAGCCTTAATAGGGCAAGTAATAAGAAAATATTAAACACGTTGTTTTTTCCGGAGCTGATGATGGAAGTAGCTAAGGAGTGAGACATCTTGCTTCCTTCTCATCTCACTTGTACTCTTGCATAGTATCAATCAGGCACTCACGAGAAAACTAAAACTAAATGTAAGCAAGGCAGATAAAATGGGGGTGTTTTTCAAAGGCACAGGTCATCAAGTGTCACTGCTTGTTACCATGAAAACATGGCTGTTAGTTCTGAGTAAATCTACCTACCACATTAAGGTTTGGGGACCAGCATCACCATGGTTACGATAATACTCATGTGGTTGAGCTTAATAAGAAAGTCAGCCTTTATTTTTGTCAAACTGGCCTCGCACTACAAAACCAGTCTAAAATATCTGTGTGAAATTGATCCCTGGATCGTATTCTAGGTACAGTTAACCACCACCCAATGAAATGAGAGCTCTGACTGGAGTAGTCGGCGAGTAGGTCAGTTCTGGGGAGCCAAACCATGAATTGCTTTAAAGATATAAGTAGAATGTAGAAGATAATTCTGTATTGCACTGGGAGCCCAGGAAATGATTTAAGTACTAGAGTAATGTGTTCATTTTTGGGTGTACACATGAGGACTCTGGCTGCTACGTTACAATTGCTCTGGAGCCTTCCTGTTGTTTGTTTAAGTAATCCAGAAGAGATGTGTTGCAATAATCTCACCTGGTTGAGAAGGATGCATCAGAGTAAGTTCAAGATATAAAGCCACTCAATTTTGGCATGTTTTTTCAAGTGATAACAATGTCCTGGTTATCATTGATGCAGTTTACCAGCTTGCTTATAGAATCATCAGAAGACACAGAAATTTACAGTGTACAATGTACAAAAACTGTGTTTCTTAATAATGTTGCCAAGTGGAACCATGTACGAATTGAAAACCAAAGGTCCCAAATTGTACCCTTGTGGAATCCCCAAGAACATCTTCAGCAGATTTAAAACCACTGAACATAGAATGTCAAATCACTGAGGAGGAAAAGCAGAACAAATGTTTGTCTTGTCAGCACTGAGATCAAGAAAAACAAAAATAAATAATATATCTAAACATATCTTCTCAGATATGGGCTGGTTTGATGATGTGGTTAAGTGCTCTAAAGCCTTAACATCAAAATCAAATAAGATGGAATATGGGAGCCAATTATACTTGATTTGTTACAATGGAGAGTAGAATTAGAACAAAAAAAACCAAGGCTGAAAAGAATTAATGACATATTTTTAATGTATGCTTTAAAATGATAATTTCTGCCTCATCCTCCCCCCGTTTAGAAAATTCTTCAAAACACTTCAATTGCACTAGAAAAAGTGAAGCTGTTTCAAAGAACTCCCACATTTCTTCAGATGTTTTATGAAATATAACTTTTTCTCTCTCTCTTTTTTTTTTTTTTACATTTTGAGACTCCACAGCAGATTTTAAATTTTCCACACAAAATTAAGACTTGAGATTGCTTTTTTGAGGGCACCCTTGAACACATCACGACTTGTATCCAGGCCACGGGCGGTTTATGTAAGGGCCTAAGTTTGAAGGTCAATCATCCATGACAAAGCGCTTTGATATGCGCTGTTAAATCCCCGTGTTGATAGCAGGAGCGCGGCGGACGAGGCGCTGTTCGTGGTGCTGAAATGCGGGGTTGACTGACGCGTCATCCCTAGCTCATGGAACATTCATTTAACTAAAATAACGTGCAAGGCTTCATCCAAGCGGGGACAATACATTGTTCAATGTGACAAATGATTTGAGTTCTCCAAACTATCAGCTGCTATCAGGATCCGTGGAAAGGGACTTCAGAGATATGGCTGGGAAATAAATGTCCTCCGATATTTTCTTTTGTTTGGTCCATTATCATCATATATATCATTATCAGTAGATTTGGTTAAACTCAGGCTTTCTTTAACAAATACGCACAAAGACAATGGTTCAAATGGTTGGTGGGTGATTAACAGTACAAAACTTATTTTTAACCCGAAACTCAAAGAGTAGGCTAGTGTCGGTGAGCTGCAGGGTGCATGCTGCTCGGGTATTTTTAAGTGATTTACGCCAAAATCCTGGTCCAATGGGGAGTGCATGGCGATAAAGGCACGGTGTAGCCTACATGAAGCTCGGCGTCGGAAGATATGTTACGGCATATATGTGGTGAAGCCTGTTTATTATAACCCCCCCCCGTGCAGTGCAAGCTGCAGACTGCTGGACACGACTCTCCCGTTTGCGTTCGGAGGAGCTGTGACGCGTTCAGATCACCAATGCAAATGAGACCGACTCCCCCCCCTCCCCCTCCCCATCACCTCCTCTTTCTCTCACACAAACACACTCACACACACTGTCTGTGCTTTCTATCGCCGTGCCAGCCTTCCAGAGCGACGGAGAGCACAGCGCTGCCTGGCTGAGAGAGAGAGAGAGAGAGAGAGAGAGAGAGAGAGAGAGAGAGAGAGAGCTTATATAACACCAGCTCTGGGAAATGCTGGAGAGCCGAGGAGACCTTCACTGGACAGCAAGCGGGGAAAACAGCGATCACAACGGCCATAAACTGATGAGTGGTCGCACAACATAAGGATGCCATGCGTACCACGCCGCCGCTGAAGGTAAGCCGCATGTTGAAACATCCTCTACTGTAAATGGTGGAGGCAGAGTGAGGGCTTTTTAAGATGGAAGACCTCGGCTTCTTAAATAGGTGATTCGTGTTTACTCTCGCCGTTTTATTCATTTGTCTGTCAAGCTCCCATCCATCCCGTTACATCAAAGCGGACGCGGCGTGGATATTTTAGGGTCATGTGGCGTGGCGGTGAGTTATTTTATGCGTAAAAATGTGGAGTTGAACACAACTTGGGCACTCGGACTTGATCAGAGACTGTTCATTGTGCAAACTGTTGCTTCTATCCTCGGGAGCACTACCGCACCCCTACTTTTTTTTTAGGGGGGGTACAGTGTGGCGGGTCCGCTTCACAAGACAGAACACTAGAGGCCTGAGATGAAAAGTAGAGCTGAAGGGCATGACGGTGTGTGACGGCCACCGAGACAACGGGGCTTTAATGGATATCACTGGAGAGAGACTCAGTCTGTGAAGCATCTATTGGGGGAGCATAGCTGCTGTCACATAGGAACCTCTAAGTGCAATCATCAAAGAGGGGCTTGAGACCACCGTGGCAGGAAAAGGGGACAAAAACACAGAGGAGAGGGTCAGGGCTGCACTCCACTGGCCCTCTCGCCAGTCAAACTATCAGCCTCATAAAACACCACGAATACTTGGGTGTTCCACATTCTAATCATTCAGAAATCTTCAGCATCTCATCTTTGCATGTTTTGTTTTACTCATAACTTATTCATCTCTCCACAGATGAGAGATGGTCTGCACACTGCTTTGATAATCCTCATTTCATAAGCACCCATAATGCGCTCTCCAGACAGTTTTTTTTAAATCACATGATGTCATTTCACTGTGATAACTGAGACTTGTAGAGATTATATTTATTGTAACACCGGCAATATCTCCCAGCTTCGCAATCTGACAGTGCAGGAGTGAAAATCTCTGCACTGGAGGAGAATCAAATTTAAAAGCCCTATTAGTAAAGGTTGGGGTGATTTCCTGTAGTTCCCCCCTTTTTAAAAAAAACCCCCAGATGAATGTGAAACAGGAGGGTGCCGACCAGAGACGCAGATGAAATAGGAATTAAAGGAACTGCAGAACACAACTCGAGGCAGGGTTTTTGAATTAAAAACAAATGGTAGGAATGAAAGCAACGAAGCAGCAGACGCACCATGTGTTGCAAGATGCTGCAAGACAGAAACACAAGCCCATATGTCAACATGAGCTGTACATCTAATCCGCCAGGCATATACTCCCCTTCCCTTTGATTGTGTTCACATACAGAGAAACTCACTTGTGCTTCAAATCCAGCTGCTTGTGTTTCTTTTCTTTTTTGGTGCTTCAGCTTTTCCCCGAGGATCATCCTGGAGTCAGTGGCCACAGCCTTGGATATTAAACTCTGTTGTGACACATCCATTGTTCCACTGCTGCCATTGGACTCCGTGGCGGTGAAGGACCCAGACACAATGTCTACGACATTGCCAGATGCTGCAGGTCTTTCCAAGATTATGAAGTTGTAAGTGGGTTACAGATCTCCTCACCCCTAATCCATGAAATGGCCTTCCACTAAGGTGAGAGACAGGAAACAGAATGGTGGCGCCTCTCTACAGACTGCACTGCTTCTTGAAGCGGGCTCAGATGCTGTTGCTCTGCCTTGGCATCGCCTATCTGATGGCAGGCAGCATCCTGCTCCTGCAGCGTTCCAGCGTCAGAGTGGCCCAGCCGAACCTCGCCAGCCTGCCGCCACTGCTGTCCCTCGCAGCGCCTCCTATTGCCCTCAGGACTGCAGGCCTGGGCGTGAGGGCACGCTCCAGATGGGCCGCCATTCAGCCTGTGTCCGGAGGGGGAGCCAAGGCAGGGCGACACTGGCCCGCTTCCCAAAGCCTCGGGGTCCAACACTTGCATCGCCGCTGGTTTCATAATCTGCTGCCAGAGAGTCCAGAGCAGAGAGTCTCTCTCCACAGGAGCAGCAGGCATAAAGGTAAACAACTATACACACCTTCCACTGTTCTGTCAACACATTCAACACGTACAGTAAAACAGTGTGTAGGATTTAATGGCAGCTAGCGGTGAAAATACAGAACCATTTGGACACTGCATGTACAACAAACCTACAGTGGCAAAGTGTTTGGTTTGTCCATACTGGGCTACTGTAGAAACAAGACGGTTCAACGAGGTGGCCCCCGTAGCAGAGGACCCACTCCCTCTGCAGATAAAAACGACGAGGTAACAAAAACACAATGATTATATTCAGGTGATTATACACTAATGAAAACATACTTCTTCCAATGTATCCTCCTAAAGGTTGCTCACTGGATCTTTAAAAGTCAGTCTGAGTCGGATTTGTCTCCACACTGACTCGACACTGTCCTGTCTTCAGTTCAGGGCTCTACTCTTAAATACTCAGACTTCATCATCACTGCAGGTTTTCTAAGAGCCAAGCAGCCAGCAGGCGAAAGAAGCAATGTTAATGTTAACATGTGACCACTGGCCACTGCTTGCCCTATTTACATTCATTAGTGTGCCAGTGAGGTGTTAACAGCATGAAAGTGATAGCTGAATGCTATTTTTAACTAGCTGACCAGCATTATGTGAAAACAAATTTTGTCTTCACCAAAAATTGTAACAAATCCGAAATGAAACACGTTTAATGAATTCGGTTGAGACCTGTGCTTAAAGCAATCCCATCAGCTACTTGTTGTTGGCTGTTCCAAAACAGAGACCTCGAACATGGCTGCCAAAATATATGTTACCTGACAGCATTGTGATTGTGTGGCCAGATCACAACATCTAATGTGGTTTTTGCCAATCAATAACTGACCTTGTATATCTGTAGCCAAGGTTGCACATCTCTGTTGCCATTAAACAAAAGCAGAAAAGCTCTGGGCTATAACACCATCACGCGGTGTGAAACGGAGCAGTGGAAAGGAGGAGAGATCCTGGTGAAGATGTGTTGACTGAGGCGGTGGTTATCCTGGTGAATAATACATGAACAAGCAAATACACACGTTGATTTTATATTTTGTGATTTACTTTTGTGGCTCAGGTGGCCTGGAGCCGAGGTACTACATTCTGCACGGAGCTTCCGTAGCGCACACAACAGGCTTCATGGTACATTTATGAACAGATAATCATGACCATAGAACATTTAGAAGAGCTTCATTATATATTTATATGACATTTTACGTTTGGGTGCTTCAGATCTTGTAGATGAAGGATAGTGCTCACTGATCCTATAGAAAACAGAGAAGGAAAAGGCAAGTAGTTTCTAGAAAATAAATTAGTAATTATGAAGATAAAAGTGATATTATTCCTAACTGGTGCTTTTTGTTAAGAAAGTACTTTAAAATTGCCCTGGAGATTTACTCTATTGTTGAACAGGCCTGTCAGTGCCTTTGCCATTTTGTTGAAATGATAAATACAATGGAATTACCTCCACTGGAACATTTGTTCTTCCAGCTCATTCTTGAAAAGCATCCTACAAGAACTCTTAATCCTTTTTTTAAAACAGACACTACATAACCGCTCAGGCACTAAGTAGGGTAATACAGATGAAAAATGTTAGAGGCAGGAATAAGATCAGTTTCAGCAACAGCCATCTGGCAAAGGTTCCTTTTAAAAAGTATTACCCTGGACACAGAATTAAATTACCCAGGTCTATTGTACCACATGCCCCGGGAGAGTAACTGGTCGAAGGTTTCAGAGAAAGAGCCATGGCCTGCTATTTGTGATACCTTTCATAAACCTATACAGTGCACGTACAAACAATAAGTATGTGCATTTATCAGTTTCAGTTAGTGCTAAAAGAATTTGTTGATTAAGTTGACAGAAAACTAATTCTAAACTATTCTGATAATTGATTGTCTTAAAGCAATATCTTTACTACATTATATCTTTTATGGCCGGAGTCTTGTCGTCCCTGTGAGGTTGCCAGGCAACCAGCTGGGGATGCCTAGCCAAGAAACAGTTGGCTACATAACCCCCCACCACCACGTGTCGTTTTTACACTTCAGTTTCTGCATGGATTAAAGGACAGTGTGTAGGATTTAGCCTGTAGGAGAAACTACAGTGGCCAGGAAAAATGTGGAAGGCCCTATCTAGAGCCAGTGTATGTCCATTCTGAGCTACTGTAGAAACATGGTGGTTCAACATGGCGGACTCTGTAGAAGAGGACCCGCTCCCATTGTAGATGTGTAAAGGCTCATTCTAAGGTAACAAAAACACAATGATACTGATTGTCTGGTGATTATACACTAATAAAAACATACCTATGAATATTATATTTCTGCCAATGGATCCTCCTGAACGTTACACACTGGACCTTTAAACAATACACATAAAAGATCTTTTTCCTGTAGTTAACGGTCTGCTAGCTGTAGCTTCATATTTGAGGAAAGACATGAGAATGCTCTCATCTTACTCTCAGCAAGGACAACTCTTTCTGACATTTAATTGACTCAATAACTCATCAAATAATCAAAACATGTATTCACAGTTAACTCAGTAATGAAAATAATGGTTAGCTGCAGTCATTGTTTCAATGTAACATGAACTGTCACATTCATTTTGATGTGTCTTTCTACAGAGGTTTAAGAAGCACTTTCTTACTTAGTGAGCAGAAACATTCAACAAGTAATTTTCTCACATTTCCCTGCCTTTATTCTACTGTGAGTCAAGTACAAATCATAAGGTACTAAATCAGGACCACTGTGAGGTGTTCAGCCAAGGTCATTAAACAGCTCTCAATCCATCTAGCACAATCTTCCAGATCTCACAGCTGAAGTCTCTAGAGCCGACTTATACCAGATGTTTGGTCGATATTGATATCATATTTCAGAGTTTTAAAAATCAGATAACAAATTATTGTCTGCTAATCGTTTTTGAAGAATTGTGACCAAGATATTTAGTAAGCAGGACATTTTAATGTGTAAAAATATACTTCTACTAAACTACTAAATGACATTGTCCTAAACATATCTTTGGTATTTCTGTATTGCAATTACTCTATATTTATTTGCTGATGTAGTCATGATGTCAGTACCTAAATATGTGCAATTTATCACTATATCTACTTTGGACTACCAGATTGAAAAAGAAGGAAAATGAAGTTAATCATATAATATGCTTCATTAATGGCCTGTTTGTAATATCTTTAGTTCCGTAGTTTGATATTCCATCTTTATGTTTTCACTTTTTAAATCACAATTCCATCTTTATTCACTGACTACTTTGACACACAGTAGCCTGCATAGCAGTAATAACATTAAATAGTCGATTGGAAAGGTTTTCATGCATTTTCAGATTCGGATATTTATAGATCCAGGAGTAACCCTACCTATTCAAACATTTTATAATAAAAGTTTGAGATGCATAACACTTTGTCTGCTGCCGAAAACTTTCTGCCTCGAAGGGATGAGTAACATAAAATTCCTTGATATGTTAAGTACATATCAGAAGTATTACATGCCCAGAGATGTGGAGACGGATCAGAAGTAAGAAATATTACAGGGGTTGCACAGTAGGGGCCAAACTCTCTGTGTTGATATTTCGCGAGATTTGATTTTTATCAAGTTTCTGTTGGTTTTAGGTAGTCAGGAAGGGCAGGTGGTTGGGTCGTACACAAGGGCATAATTTCCACTGGGGCTGTTTAAGGTTGGATTTTTTTTTTTACTAAAGGTCTTTGAATATTGTTCTCTGACTGTCCACGGTCCAGATTAGAGAAGATCTGAGTTAATAAAAATATTCATATACTTGCTCGAGTCTCCTTTACTTATAACCGTACAGTCACAGCAATGAGCTCAGATAGCAGCAGAATGTGTGGCGGCGAGTGCTTGGCAGGCTACATTTCCCCTGGGTTATGTCTCTCAGGCTACGTAAATGTTGCCCTACCTTTTTGGTGAAGGTTGTTGAGGTTGTACAGCCTGAAAGAATGCAGACACTGCTCAGGGCTGAAAAAGGTCAGTGTGTTTTGTTTTTTCAGATAAAAAAAAAAAGTAATATTTATTTTTATTTGCAGTTAATATTCTCTTAAAGACGCTAGAATTGGACATCAAAGATAAGACAGTGAAGCACAGAACCAAAGACCTCTGCACTCTTTTTTTTGGTAAAAATGCAAATACAAATACAAAGCAGGATAAGTACATTAATACAGAGGTTTATATAGCTTTTCTTTTTTGTGTGTTATTCTACAATTTTTTCACTATAGTTTGTTGAATTTTCTATATTTCCTATTCGGAAAATATTCACATTAACATTACATTTAACATGACAATACTTATATTAGATACAGATATTTTTTTATCTTTGACAGTTTATACTTTTTCCTAGTATCCTTATCTTTTACTCTTATCCCAATTATTATTATTATTATTATTGCACATTATAGCATATATGTACATTGTTTTTTTGTATTTTCGTTGTTGTGTTTCCCCCACTTCTGAAACCAAACCTTTGCCCTTGGTTCTATGTACATTTTCTGATAGATTTAGGAGTGATTCAGTCATTGGGTATTTACGGTTTTTCAGTCTTAAAAACCCTTGTTGAGATGATCCGGCTTGGGTCAGCCTTCCATGCCTTGAGAACCTCTGTACTGTGGCTTTGATGACTCTCCTTACATCTGTGAGGATATTAGAGACCCAGCAGTGAGAGTGTGAACCCTCTTCAGCCCACTTTAATGGACACACACAGTGCACATGCTACCCGTGGCAGCAGCACATACTTGGCCATCATGTCATTAGCTTCCTCCATCCAATACTGTGGGGAAGAATCGGCTCCAGCACCGCCATCTGTCTTGGTGTTTAAGAAAGCGACACAGTGTCAGGCCTAAGTGCAGTCATTTCTATCATGTCTGGGAATTCGGGCTGCTTCCCTCCATTAACCCTCAGCTGCAGCTGCCTGGGGGCTCTCCTTCACTTTGATTAAAGCAACGACCTGCCCCGCTGGGTGGGTGAGGGGGGTAGGGGGCCTCACCTTGGGTGATGCCTCTTGAGATGCTTCCTATGCAAGCTCTGGTCTCTCAGTGCTTTCAGGTATCAGCTGCTGCTGCTCTCCAGTGTTTGTCTCCTGAAGCACAGGCGGCTGGTGACTCAGCTTTCGCCCCAGCACAACAGCCTGGACGGGCTTCAGAGGACATCGCAGACTGATTGAATCACAAATTCGATATGGTGATGCTTGGCCTGCCAGAGATTTCACGGTCCATTGCCTACTTCCATCTCGTCTGTGCACCTTGCTGCCACATCTCTTCAATCCTAGTAGCATGTATCTCCTCCAACACTTTTTAAATCCTCTCTTTGACCAGTTGGCTGCTGTCTTTTTTTTTATGAAGGTAGTAAACATAAAAAATCCCCAGTGTCCTTGAAACCTTTAAAAGATCTATGAATACAAATTCATACTAGGGTTTGTGAAATAAACGTAAAAGCCAACATTTGAGGGATTATCTGCATGCACTCCATGCACCAAAATGACTAAAACCTACCTGTTCACAACACACAGCTCCTGAATGAGTAGAAACATCTAGCATAAAACCTAAAAATATTACAGTCTCAGACCCAAGGGGTGAAATGCAAATGAAGTCTGCGCACAAAAGAAATGCATATGCTAGCCTCCCCACTGAGACTGGTATTTATAAAGAAGACTTTTATGTGTCAGCTGAGTGGAGTTTGATGTAGCAATATGGCAAAGACAAGGATAACATCAAAGACTGAATTTGGGTGACATTTTATATGGAGCCTTAATCTTGTCAGCACATCATAATAGTGTGTCCTTGCCTATTATACGTTACATCCTTCTTTCTACATGGGTGATTTTTTATTCTTGCGCAAGTAAATAAGGTTGACTGTAATGCAGGAATAAGAATAATCTATACTGGATGATAAAGTAGGCCTCATCATTATAAATTAGTTGCATATTATGGCCCACAATACACTCTGGTGTGTATAATGAGTGTGAGTAAGTGATGACGCAAAGGCTGCTTTGGCACTGTTAGAGAACGGTGCCAGTGCCAGAGTAAAGACAGAGGATGTCTGGTTTACATCCAAATCAAGTTAAAGAGGAGAGTGTCAACATCTATCTATGACTAATTGTGGGTGTGCAATTCAGAATTATTATAATTATTATAGTTTTTATTTTACTTTTGTGTAAATATGCTCAGAATCTCGCTTATAGCACCAGTGTGTAACATTTAGGAGGATCCATTGGCAGAAACAGAATATAATATTCATAGGTATGTTTTCCCCATGAGTCCTCCATGTTAAACTGCCATGTTTCTAAAAACCAACCACTGGCTCCAACCACTGAGTGTTCTGTATTTCTTATCAGTTTTGCAGCCACCAAATTTTCTCCTACATGCTTGAAACACGAGTGGTATTCAGTTGGTTGAAATCTGCAACTTAACTGCTAGATGCCACTAAATCCTACACACTGGCCCTTTAAAGAACCAACTAGAAAATGAACTTCATATTCGGTGCAACTACACCTATAATTGGTGCTACACCTGGAAATTTAAGTTTTTTTATTGTAGCTGGTAGCTGCGCGGAGAGAGTGTGTTAACCAGACATGAAGCGGAATAGAATTTTATTTTTTTTTAAATGCTCACTTTAGCCATGTTAGTCAGTCTAGCTGTTCACACCAGACGCAGAGTGCAACGGACTTGCAGCAATCTCTTCAGCATCGTAATGACCCTGAGACACTTAAAAATAACAACATTAAAAAAGGAGGAAGAACTTGAAGAAAAACTTGTGACAACTGTCCAGGAAAATGTTTTCTTAAAAAGAGTGGGAGTCTTGATTCTTCCATGAACGTTATAATCCAGCATGCATGGTTATCTTATCCAGTAACATGTTGTTTTGATGGAATTTTTATTAATTAATGAAACTACTAAGAAAAATACATGGGGATAGGCTGTAGATTTCAGAACATTACAGGTATTTAAGGGAAAACGAGGTACAGTATGTCAGAAGCAAGGTCATTCAACTGCATTATTATATCATAGATCAGATTTGCTCTCATTAAGGATGCCGAGGCTGTTTATCTGAAATTGACAGATAATCGGACGACCGATTAGATTAATGTACTGATGATTATTTTTAGAATTCATTAAACTGTCAATTATTATTACATTACTATTTGCCAGAGCCCAAGGTGACACTTTCACATTGCTTTATTTTGTCCAACTAATGATCCAAAACCCCCAAAACATTTAATTTACAGTCAAATCTAAAATAGAAAAGAAGCAGCTCCTCATTTTGAGAAGCTAAAAACAAAGAATGTTTGGTATTTCTGCTTGACAAATTACTTAAACGAACTTATTATCTAAATTGTTGTCAATATTTTTGTGCACCAACTAATCAATTAATTGACTAGTTTCAGCATGAAATGTTAATAACACAAACACACTTTTCAATTACTGTAACTACTTTTCAAATTGAGACATTTTAAATTGTGAGTGCCTCTGCAGAGAATTTTTCACTTTTTTTGACACATGCAGGAACCTACATCGGTTGCTTTTTGCACAATGCCAGCGACCGAGCCCTGGGAGGAACCATGCTTTATGACCTGCGCAAAATGACCAGCTCTCTGTGTCAAGACACCTGCTCAGAAAGGTAATGCATTTGCAGCGGGCTCCTGTGAAGGGACCACAGAAGGCCTGCTGTTTGAGTAAATGCTTTGGATCTCAGTCGCCTCCATGAATGCCTCCCTGTGTTTGGAGCCAGCGGAGAGCCAGGTGGCTGGATGACAGTAAAAGATGAGGGAAGGGGGGGGGCGTGAGAGAGGGGAGAGTGAAGAGCAGGCCAGGACAGAAGGCTTGATGTGTTGCAAGAAGAAGGAAGGAGGGAGGTGTGTATGTGTTAGAAAGCTTAATGAGCTGACTACAGCAGTTGGTGAATAAGTCAGAGGTTAGATGTGAGCTTTCCTGAGGCTGTGGGGCGAAAATCTCTGATTAGGTCAGTGTGAGCGGTTTTTGTGGCATTGAAATGTCCAAAGCTTCAAGAAAACATGCAGAGGCAGGTGGACTTTTCAAAGCAAATTCAAGGAATGACCCACTTGAATTATTCCCTCTAATATCTTAGTAGTAGCCCAGCTGAAACAGAACAGCAGAGGACAGATGGATGCAGTCAGACAGAGAGCAAGTGCTCACATCTCGAGCCTGCATGCTCGTTACCTGAGCGGGCCAATTACTGCGATGAGTAAAAGTAAAAAGTCAAGGCAATTTATGAGGCAGCTTCAAAGGACATATATGAAAAGGTCAGTTTTGATGAGGTCTCTGTCTGTCCCAAGGAGGGAGGATAAAGAGAACGGATGAGTCACGACAGCCTTGATATGTAAAGTACAGATCAGAGGTTAGTGCAGTTCAGCTGGAAAAAGGCATTACACAGTCAGGCGAGTGCAGAAGGAGAAGTACTGACAAATATCACAGGGGACAGACCATGCTGTAGATTTAATGCTGGGAAGTTTGAGTTAAATGATAAGTTTGAAATGTTAACTAATGTCCAGTGGGATGGCTTAGCCCGAGGGCAATAGCTTGAGGTTATGCATTGCCCTTGGCTTGGGCAATAAGTGTGTGTGTGTGTGTGTGTGTGTGTGTGTGGTTAGTGGGTACCAGTTTGCAGGTCTGGAGTATGGAGCTGAATGCCACTGCGGAAACCGGATCAGTAGCCCACGGGCTCCCGAGGAGGATTGCAGTCTGGTGTGTCGCGGTGATAGGGGGTCTCCGTGTGGCGGCGTGGGTCGACTCTCCATTTACAAGGTGGAGGAGCAGCTGCCGGGTCACAGGAAATGTGAGTCAACTTCCCTCAGGAGAGACACAGGACTGTTTGCTATTTATTCTCTGCACGAGCTGCTCTGTGGGGGACTTCAGACAAGTGGAGACGTAACTGAACTCATTTAAACTGAAATTCTCCACAAAATAAATAATTCAATAGAATGCGATGTCAGTATAAATAGTGCACTCATCACACCTAAGTGAATATCAATGTCAAAGGATGAGTCTGGTCAAAACCAGACAAAGACCAGTGTTCAATTCATTCAACAACTGGCACCTGTGTAACAAATAGCCTTATATTCTGTTCTGCTGCGGGACAGCCAATTCCAGAGGAGCTGTGAGCCCAGTGAATGTGTGTGAAAGGGTGAATGTGGCACGTAGTGTAAAAACGCTTTGAGTGGTCGGAAGACTAGAAAGGCGCTATACAAGTACAGGTCCATTTACCATTACCATTAACCAGTGGTGTTTGCTGCACAGTCTAATTTGACTTGCTTTGGTCGTGTCAGACTGTGAAGAGTTAAAGAGACAAATCTTTCCATCGCTGCTCTTACAGTCGTTACACACTTGTGTGCCGGAAAGCGCATTGCATTACCAGAACAACCAGCAGCCCGTCGTCGCCAGTCTTGTGGTATAACTGCATATTTTAAAAGATTTTTAATATGCTGATTTGTACGTTTATTCTTCTGCTCTGATACGTTTGAAAATGTTGTATGAAAATGTAGTTCATGTAAATGTGCCCTACTTTTTTAATGTGATGAAAGGTGGACACCCTTGGTCTGTTCTCAAGACACCGCAGGGTGCCGCAGCACCCACTGCACTAGAGCACTAAATGTGTACTAATCTGCGGCTGAAAACAGTCCCCAACAAAGGACTAGAGTATTCCTATTCCTACAGTACCGTGCCCAGCTGATTTAAGGAATGACTAAGGAAGAGTATTAGGCCACGCGTAAGGGGACAAATGAGAGGAAGGTTTTTTTTACAGCCATTACGGTAACTGATCATTACCTGCTTCTCATGGCCGATACCGATAAGATAACTGATAATTTCACATTTTTGTATTTTATAAAGAAGTTTTGCATAAGAATTCAAAATAAATAATTATTATAATGGACCAATAATTTATCGGCTGTAGTTTAATTATTCAGATCCTTTATCATAATATAAATTTCCCATTTTTGGCCAATAATTTATCTGACCCGATAATTGTCGTGCATCTCTAATGAGAGTACAATTTTTTTATTATTTTTATTTTGAATTTCAAGAATAAAGTAAAAAAAAAATCACATCAAGTTTGGAGAGCGTTTGACACCTCTTCCAAGTTTGAGTGGTTTTTCCTTCTCAACAGACACAGGCATTTTTCGGCACAATCTCCCAATACTTCCCACTGTGTTTACGCAGTAAAAGATAAATCATTTCATAATACTAAAACCAATTATAAAGTACAGTTCCACCTTTTAATCTACACAAGGCATTTTGTAGAGGCAGCAATGCTACTACTACTACAAGCTAATGCTAGAAGATTTATTCTCAAAAGTTTGACTTTAATCTTGAAATGTGTATTCTTCACTATTCAATTTTATTCTTGACATATTATTTCTACTTTATTCTCAACGTTTTGACTTTATCCTCGAAAATCAAAATATTTTTAAATTAAAAAAAGATCACTCCGTCGTACAGAGCCTTCAAAAGAAAAAATGTGTTACTCGTTTTTTAGAACGAAGAAGATTATGTCTTCAATCTGAGTCAATCAGCTCAGAGCTTTGTGACAAGAAGATTTCTATGACAGAAAAATTCCTGATATGAAATAATTTGGGCAAAGAGGATGGGTGGAGTTGTCCATCTGGGTGATGGGACTCTTTGCTTTGTTGCAGTCCCACTTTCTGATGATTTAGGCTGATTAAACAGGTGCATTTTTGCATAAAATCACATTTAGTGCAACTTTACACTTGATTGATGATATTTGTTGAAGAATATTGTCTAGGGCGACAGCTGTGGAGTTTACAGAGTGTATCACAGGATACACATTGTCTGCTCGTCTACAATCTTTTGCACGGGGAATGTCACAGTTAGTTTGTGAGCTGCTGTATATTTCATTTAAAAGAACAAGATGTACAAGGGCCATGCAAGTATAACTCCTGTAACTCCATAGTATATAACTGCAGCTTTATAAGCCAAAACACTTCATAATAGCAACATCAAAAATTCAACAATACTGATTATAAATTTTTCTCTTAAAATGTTTTCTGCTCTTTAAAAGATATGCATCACATTATTGCTGTTGGCAAGGTCAAATACATTATAAAATGAGTTTATATCATATACAGTATTAATATTCATGATCGGAAGGTTCAGCGTCTCTGGAGGTTTGCAGCTGAATTGTGAATGTATTATACACCAGAAGTCAGTTAAGAATAGGAATGTAATTAGGGCAGAAATACAGATTGGTAATTTAAATTCATCTCATGTCGAATAACATTGTTGACGATGTATTTCTCAGTAAAGCCTGTATTTTCCCTCGTCAGTAAATAAATAAAAATACTTCCTAACTGGTTAATGCAGTTGGATCCTACCAAATCCATTTTTGTTATCCGCAACTATTTTCTCTTTTTCTTTTTCCAGTCAGAAACGTTCACTACCGCGGTTGCTTCAAGTTGCCGAAGAGCACCATCAGCACCTTCCCTGTCTATTCCTCTCAGCCCAACCTAACCACGCAGTCCTGCATTGAGACCTGCACAGATAAGGTTTGAATTAGCTCTCTGAAATTACAGACCGTGATGATCAATTTATTGCACGTAGCTCTCTATAGCGTACCAGCGGATCTCCACTTCCAGGAGAGGAGACTCCATAGCTCAGAGCTGTCTCCCAGGAGAACACATGTGGGAGCATGGAGCTCCTTGGATTTTGCTGAATATTTAAGCTTTAATGTGCCGCTAATGAGAAGTAGACAGTCTGGATCCTGCACTGAGATCTCACTGAATGCAGCTGTGTCTCCTCCGAAAACAGAAAATGGCATAAAATGTATAAATGGTATAAAATACTGCACATCATTTAGCAGCAACTGCATTGTGATTAATTCTCACTGTGTGGCGTGTGTGCATGTACGTGTGAATATGCATGACTTTTCTTAAATTTTCACTGCAGTGACTGTCCTTGAGCTTTGACATTGATCATTCTGACCCCTCTGCTACTGGAAAAGTGAGAAAAAATAATGAACAAAAAATTGTGGAGTGGGGATGTGTTGCAGACTTTCTTGCTGAACTCAGCCGACACAACACCCTTTGGAGAGGAAAATAAGAAAGATGAGTCATAGAAAAACATGGAAAACATTTGTGCTTTTGGTTCATAGGAGCTCCCGCTGGCTGTGTTCAAGAAGCCCCACTGTTTCTGTACCTGGACGTCCTCTCTGTTCAGTCTCAACCAGCAGACTGACAACCAGCAGTGTGTGGGGAACCTCACCAGCACCTCCACACCCACAGCACCCACTGAGCTTGACTACCACTACCAGGTGTATCACACACCTGTGCTTGGTGAGATATTTCTGTCAATCATGTGCATGTGACAGGCTCTTGTTAAAAGCTCCAATCATGTAAAGCTTCATTCTGATTGGTTCTACAGAGTGAGATGGGACACTGTAATAATTACCAGAGCGTGTCTGTATTTAAATCCCGCCTATTCTGCCATGTCAGTAATTTTTACGGATCACGCACAGCAGTTAAAGTTCCAGCCTCTCCTTCCTCCTGTAAAATTGCCTGTAAAAATAACCTCAGATAAAACTAGTCCATTCACTGACACTGTGAATATTGTGTCGTTTCCTTCAGAGAGAACACTTAGTGCACAATTGAGGACGAAATTGCTCTTGAATGCAGTGTTCATCCCAAAATCTCAACTCGCCATTTTGTCACCCTTGCAACCATACTACAATTTGTGTGTCATGACATGTATTGTGTTTCTTTTGCTCTGAAAGTGAATCCATTTTTATTTTATTTTTTTTAATCTCTGAAAAGAATTTGATATATTCTGATCTGGTGCATTTCGGCTTTGTTTTACGGCTAAAACTGGCAACAAAAACTCTGTCCTTCTAGACTCCAGGTGCAAAGAGAGGATGTTTCTGCCTCAGAGATCCAACTCCCTGGTGGCTCTTTCCAGTTTTCCTGGCGCAGGCAACACCTGGGTACGCCACCTGATCGAGCTCGCGACCGGCTACTACACTGGCAGCTTCTATTTCGACGGCACGCTTTACAACAGAGGTGAGGCGAGGTGCCCTCCCCATTGTTCAAACGAGCGTTTGAGTGAGTGTTCGTTGAAATATTACCTCGCAGCTGACCATTATTCATTCATTTATTCATTGGTACCAGGTTTCAAAGGAGAGAAGGACTACTGGAAGAGTGGCCGCAGCATCTGTGTAAAGACCCACGAGAGTGGTCAGAAAGAGATTGAGATGTTCGATTCTGCCATCCTGCTGATTCGAAACCCTTACCGCTCCCTTGTGGCTGAATTCAACCGCAAGTGTGCCGGACATTTAGGACACGCTACAGACGCACAATGGAAAAGCAAAGGTAATACAGTCCAATCCATAAAGACATGATAGGGGAGTAGTTTATGGCTCTGCTGAAGGATGCTACTGCTGCATAATGTCCTGCTGTTGATGTTAGTTGAGTAGACCTGAGGGCATTCTGGGATTGTGACTGAGTGCATCATGAAGCAGTTAGGTTCTCATATTCATAGTGAAGACTGCACTCTTAAGCTTTTATACCACGGTCAGTAAAACAGCACATGTGCTCTCTGAAAGCTTTTCTATTGAGACATCTCTGACACATCGTTGTGTGAAGTACTGTCACACAAAAAGCATTGTGGCACCATCTGTAACAACAAAATACAGCATGTTTAAAGGATCAGGTCACCCAAATTACAAAGAAAAACATTTTCTCACATACTGCACCTCTATTTGTATCTCGTCTGGCTCAAAGTTTTGGCTTTATTTGTCCACGTTTTGAGAATGTATTTTGTTTTTTCAGAGCCTCCACCAAAATAAATGGGAAGGGAAGTGAATTTGTGATGCTCACGGCATTTAACTATTATACTAAAATAATTCACAGACAAGTTGACAGACAGTTTTACATTTGATTGCTGATGACTTTCCAGCTGCAAAAGTAATTGTCAGACCTTCCCCGTGGTAACTGTCTAGTTGGCTATTATTCTTATCTGTTTCTATGTCTGGTTGTACTAAAAGGGCTATCAATTTTAAGTAATTTCTTGATAGGCCAGTTTATTTTACATCTCTAATCATGTGGTGCCCACAATTTCTAGGTACCCCCCCAAGACGGAAACAAATGGAGAACAAGTCCTCAACTCCTGCCATGATGATAAGGACTCTCTAATATTTGAACCTAATCAAATAAATTTGACATTTCAAAAATATTCATAACGAGTCTGAACATTAAAACAGCCCAAAGGAAGTTAATAATTCAATACTCTGACTTTTCAAAGAAACTGAGATGGAATATTCAGAAAAGAGGAGTCAGGAGTCAGAGATCAAGGCTGAAACTCAAGATGTTGGCTTCTGGCAAAACACCAGGGAGGATGATCACAGGATTGAGTTTTATAAATGTTTTCAAGATGTACTGATCCCCCTCCTCACTTTACTAATAGTCAGTCAGTGGAGTTTTGCTGTGATTTCTTTTGCCAGAACCAAGCAAAGACCATTTGCAGATGAATAATTATCGTCCACTAAGTCTGTTACATAATGATTACAAAGTGTTTGCAAAGATGCTTGGAATGCATCTTGAGAGAGTGGTTTCATCTTTAATTCATATATAGATCAAGTGGGTTTCATTGCTGGCCGCCTCACCTCTAGTAACACGAGGAGACGTTTTCATATAAATGTCAAGAGCGGCATCAATTCAGCGTCCAGCAGTGGCAATATCGCAGGGAGACTTTGACAGGATGGAAGGGACACATTTATTTTATACTTTGGCTTTGATTCGATGTGTATACAGTGGGTTAAGGCTCTCTTTCTAATGGCAATATTATTGAAATGATTGATGATTTGATTCTTGAACTTTGAGATGTAATGGATGAAATTCTGAATATGAACCATTCCCCATAGATGACACACCCTATTCTCTAACCCTGTTCAACAGTTAGTAAATCACAAAGCACAAATCATATATCACTTGATGAAAATAGCCTGTCTAAAAGATCCACTGTACCATCTTTCATCTGCAGAATGGCCAGAATTTGTCTCCAGCTACGCCCCCTGGTGGGCATCCCACACTCTGAGCTGGCTGAAGTTTGGACGGCGCCTGCTGGTGGTGCATTATGAGGAGCTGCAGAAGTCTCTCCTCCCACAGCTCCGTCTCATCACAGCCTTTCTAAACGTCACTATGACCGAGGAGAGGCTGCTTTGTGCCCAGAGCAACCAAGATGGGCATTTCAAGCGCTCTGGGGCCCCGCGGCCCTCCTTCGACCCGTTCACCCCTGATATGAGACAGATGATTGACCCCTTCATTCACACTGTCGACCAGGCACTGCAGAGCAGGAACTTTAGCAGACTTCCACAGGAATACCTCCCCAGATGATGGTCTGAAAATGTCATACACAGTCCTTTAAATGACTGGCCCAGCGGGGGTTTGCGAGAGAGAAGTTCTTTACAGAGTGCTCTGTTGGGAACAGACACACACTGGTTGGTGTAAGTGGACCACCTGACTCTTTGATAAGCCAGACACACTGTGAATGGCTGTAGAGTCATGGAAACACACTGGAGGTCAATGGAGAAAACATGACAATTCAATGTGAAATCCAATGGTGAACAGCGATGAAAGCCTCAGGGCAGGCACTGCCTCTGAGAGCCGCAAATATGACAAATACTCAGAGAGGATTTGACGTGATATGTTGGCCTGCAGAGTTGGGATTATCTAGCAAAGTGCCCGACTGCACAAATATGAGTGTAAATCCAGGATGGACTCATTTTGGTTGAAGAGGGTTCTCTGTGGCTTTATAATTTTACTTTAGTAGATATTGTGTTCATAGCATACAGTACATCCATGTTAATAAAAATGACAAGTCATACTAACATAGATGAACAACCACAGCGTTAGCGTTATCCACATTACACTGAATTTCTGTGGGAATCCGCTGGTTGCTACAGGTTTGCAATCATGATGGATAAAAGCCTCAGAGTTGCCACATGTGGCCGTATGGACTCTCCATGCAACTAGTTTGACTGCACATGAACTCAGAAATATGTTTTGTGTTTTATGCTTTAAACTGTAAATGAAATCCAGCTTGTTTCTATCAGTATTTTATTTCATTAAATGCGATCAGTTGTTTACACTTGAATTACTTGCAATGTTTTTCCCTTTAATGTCCCGAAGTGATGCACTACAGCACCATCTCAACAGGTTTGATTTATTTAGCTATTAGGCCTTCACACTGAGGCGGTGTGTCCAGTGTTTGTGTACCCAGTCTCAAACAGAGGCTAAACGAAAGCAGACTCTCATGTTCACCATACAAAGAGCAAAAGAACTCAGATCTACCACTTAAATCACTACAGATATAGTCTGGAAGAAAAGTGCCACCTGGTGGCTGAACTATAGACATTGCAGTAAAAGAAGTTTGCTCTGTTTTCATTAATTGTACTTCTTGAAGGAACAAAATTATGACATGATTCTAAGTTTTTTCTTTCTTTCTTAAAATTCATTATGTTGATCAGGCTTCAGTGCTGATATCTGAATAGCTAGGTAAAATCTAGGGATACCTGAGATGTATGTCACTGTATTAGGAGGGACACAATGTCAAGAACACTTGAACAAACCAATTCAGTGCAGTAGTCTGCAACAAATACTTCCTTTTTGAAGCTTAGATTTACCTCTCTGACACTGAGACAAAGGTAGGACTCATGGCATGGTTGATAAATTGGCCTGCACAGGTTCCATGATATATTGGTATCCACCCATTGTCACAAGCAAGATCGCTCAGTCCTTTCTGAGCTGGAAGTACCAAGATTGAATGTCGCACCAAAATCCCATCCCTAGAAACAGCCTCAATCCCTGGATTTATGAGTTGCTTCACATCCCCGCTGTGAGCTTGATCCTCATAACACACATGTGTACGGTGCAGCAGTGTGCAGATGCTTCAGGTATACATGCTGGCCCTCTTCCTTGAACACCAGTCAGAAACAGAGCACTGACTCTTATGCAAAAAGAAGGAAAATTGGGGGCAGTGTGGAAATGTAACTTTTTCTCATGGAGATGATTTTGCAAAAGCAAAAGTGTCCAAATAAAACTCAGGTTGAACAAGAGGGTGCTGTTAGCTGCTCTGGCTGACAGTGTAACATGATTGCGATCAGTGTCATGAGCAGATTCATGTAGGGGGCAACATCACCTTAAATATTTTACCTTCTCAAATACTCTGCTCATATGGCAACACCACAAACTACAGCCCCAGAAACTACCAGTTCAACCAACATTCTACTCACAAAACTAAGGGTCTACATTCATGCTATTATGTCCACTCCAATATCTTTGATAGGATCTCAAACAAAACTACATAAATAGGAAGTTTAATTAGCTTATCCCTACTTGGTTTGCACAAAGTCCACAATATATCACAGTTACCTGATGATCAAGATTATTACTTCAAATTAAGCAAATTTTTTGTAAACTTTTTTTTATAATGAACCTAAATTAAACTTCCCAAATATTAAATTAGGCTTCTTGGACCTGTTGTGCCTCCCTTGGCGTTATAGCCAACTCCGATCTTAATCTAAATAGCTACATAAAAGCTGTAACAAGATCAGCTTGTTATCTTTTTCTATAAATAAAGTCAAACTCAGCAACTTCATGTCAAATACCGACCTGGAGAAACTCATTCATGCTTTTATTTCTAGCAGGGTTGACAACTGCAATGGTCTATTGACAAGGCTCCCCAAAAACACCATCAAAAAGCTTACTCAAAATGCAGTTCATAAAAAAAAGCAACTCTGATATTTTGTAATAGCCACCGTAATATGTAATAATTTATTACATAATATGTGAAAAAATTTTGCATATTGGGTTCAGGTTGTTAATTACAAAATGTGGCAGATTGCTACAAAATGCAGATATAGCTGCATAATGAAGTGAAAATGTATTACAAGTTATTACATAATAAATGTGACATAAGTGATAGCCAAGTATCAATTAAGTTAAAGCTGTTATAATCATTTATTTTCTATATTAACAATGGCTGTTTTATCATCTTTCAGTTCACTGTTTTGGTTCTCTGGTCTGCAACTATACTGTTTTGTCTCTGTCTCACTGCTCTCATCAGTGCTGTTCCCAGACACAACAGGCAGCTGTTACTTTACAGGTAGACAGACTAACATAGGGTATATTTGGTGACCACATTTAGCAGCTCGAAGTGGAGTTAAAAGAACAGTGAAGATTGGACTTATATTCGTCAGGTGATAAGAAACACACTGATACTGTTACTCCGTATCTGCTGTGTAAACAGGCAACTGTTTGCTGGCACGTTCCCCATATCAAATTTATAAGGTGACATGTCAGTGTTTATAGCTTGTTCCGTTGCCAAAAGTGGCACACAAAAAAAGAATACAGGTTGAAGTATTTGGGTTGCTGTAAGTGAGAAGGATTATATTTGCAGAATATGTCTCTGAAGCTTCCCAGTGCAACAACATTTTAGTATAAATGAATTAAATAGGTAACATTTTACAGTAAGGGTACATTAATTCATGTTGCTTAATGCAGTAATAAGCAGGAAATGACAAAGTCAGACGCGATCTGATTGCTATCTAATGCTATGAGTTGAAGGCTGGATGACAAGCCTGCAGGCTCATCATGTTGATTGTCTGTAACAGTTGTGTTATTCCCAGAGGGTCGAATGAGTTTGAGACTAAGCTTAATTAGTGAAGCAGTGCCATAAGGCCTCACAGTCAGGTGTCTGTCATAAACACGGAATGGACTGACAGCTAGTCTGGGTTATATTAAGACACACAACACCATCTGCTTCACAAATATGTGATGTCAAAAGTGATGTCTTTACTGGCTTTTTCTCTGGTTGACGTGCAAATGTAAACTGATTAAACATGCAAAAAAAAGAGAGAATATAAATACAAGGACAAAGCTCCAGTCAGTGGAAGAGACCAGAGGAAGGCAGGGGAGAGAGGATGTAGGCAGACTGCAGATAATGTTGAAGCCGAGCAAGCCTCCTCCCCCTGCCGTCACATGGACAGGAGTCAAGCTCGTTACTTGCAGCACAGACAGCGAGATGAGCCAGTCCTGACAGCTCAGGAGGAATCTCAAAGGACACACAATGTCAATATCAGTAAGCCTTCAGTCGAATCACAAAGGGAGGATAAAGGGGGAGGGCTTGCTTACAACATATTACAGGTAAAAAACTCTCTTAATATAGACCACTTAAAACCTGTATGTAAAAGGTGGAAAGTAACTAAGAACTTTTATTACGTAAAAGTACATTAAGGACTGTACTAGTGCTATTTTCAGGTACTAACTTTACTTGAGTATGTCAATTTTATGTTGCTTTAGACTTCTACTACTATTAGTTTTGATTCCACTGTATTGTTACTGCAATACATCAATACATGATAAATGTATATGATGCATTGTTACAGATTAAATTGACAGTATATAAAGTACTTAATATGAGGTTCACAACTACGAATTACAACCAAAATACTGCTTACACATGAAACGTTATATTTATGAGCTTAAAAACATTCATATAGCAGCAAACAACTATTAGTTATGTAAAGATATAGCAGAGAATGACTTCACACTCTGCCTGTGTTGCTATTGCAGCTTCTCTGTGGTTTGTTTACGGTCTGCTACATAGTGGATTGACTGAAACTGCTGTTTTTCTCATCTATGTCGGTGAATTAAGGATTCATTTCAACCAAACCAGAGTTAGTAATTGTTGGAACAGTGGAAAGACTAACGAAAACTGTTCTGGTGAGTTTTATTTTGTTTCCGGTCACTTTGAATGAAGTTATGATGTTTCGATGACATGCAAGGTAAAAATACTGTTTTTGTCTATGGAGTCTGGTGGAGAGTGATAGTGATATTAAGTCTGTTTCTGGTTAAACACAAGGTCTATCTCTGTAGGGATCCTTTCCATAATGTTGTCAGACACTGAGTATAACAATCTCAGTCTGTCAGTGGTAAAAACAAGTACTGTTAGTGGATGTACTTTGACAAGTGCATTTGTCCCCAAGGATTAATGTTAGCTTATGTTGTGGCAACTGCAGCTTTTTTCACAAGTAATTTTGTACCTAACTCTGTGAATTAAGGATTCATTTCAACCAAACCAGCATTGGTGATTGTTGAAAAGCCAGTGGAAAGACTAACAAAGACGGTTTTAGTGAGTTTTATATTATTTCTTTCATTGTTTTGGTATGAGAGGCTAGCACTTTAGTGCAACATCCAGTGGCAAGTGAATTTTGTATGTACTGTATATAACCAATCTAATAATATAACATTATAATAATAACAACAACACACTAACACACTGAAAGGGGACATTCTGCATGATCAGTGCCTTTACTCTTAATGTATAATATTTTGTTGATAACACTAAATTGTTACAGGTAGCGACACCATACACATTATTCTTAAATACTATATGTAAACATGTTAAAAGTGTACAGTATATTGGCTGGGCAGCTCCACAGAGGCAATATTACTGAAATAACAAAAACGCTGCCAGGATTAAATCTATGCTACATTCTATTTATGGTGCTGTTTTTCAAACTGTGCACTAGGTGACAGTGCCACCCTGTGATAAAGCCCGGTATATTTTGTTACCAAAATAGCATGACCTCAGTCCTTAACAAGCACCCACGCAGTTCAGACAGACACATGTTGTTTACCTCATTTGCAGCCTCTCAGCAGCGTGAGGACGCTGCCACAGCAATGGATGACCGACACGCAATGGTTGATCCTGTCTATGTGTATTTGTCATTGTAGGCAGGCTGGATAGCATATCACAGTACACCGAGGTCACAAGTAATTTTACGACATGGCTTATTTAGCTTTAGGAGATTGTTTGAAAAATTTACCTGTTTTTGGACTTTAGCATTGTTTCATTAAACCTACATATAGTATTATTGTTTTCTCATTCATTTTATGTTTTATATTTATGTCTGTCTTTCTGCTAAGCCAACGCCAGCGAACACAAAGTAGAGATAGTCAGTACAATCATTGGGCCTATTGACAACTACTTCCCGACACATCAGTTCAGTTCAAATCTTGTTCCAGAGTCCATTTTGAACTGCAGCTTGTGTGCTTTTTAATGGTTTTACAAGCAGTTTACATAAACAGAGT